GAATCTATAGACACTTCCTGTCTGTTGACTGTATGTTCCAAGAAACTTGCCTGTTGAGGAACAATTCGCACTTCTTGGGATTCAGCTTAAGGTTGTCTTTCCTCAACCAATGCAGAATGTTCCTTTGCCCATCATAAATATTAACAAAGGTCTTCCCATGAGTGATTATGACACCTAAGTAAATTAGTACAATGTTTCAGGATTGTTCAAAGGAAGCACATAGTCCAAATGGTAACACAGCAAATTGCCACAAGCTATTTCCTGCAGTAAAGGCTGTCTTCTCTCTGCTTTCTTTGTCTACTTGCACTTATCAATATCCACTCTTAAGATCCAATGTTGCAAAACATTTTGATCCAGATGGAGCACCCAAAGAAGAATTAGTCCTTGGTAATAGGTAGGCATCCTTTTTTATAACTTCATTAACCTTCCAGTAATCATACAGAACATAGTAGATCCGTCCTTCTTCTTCACAAGTACAATAGGTGATACCCAAGGACTAGTACTCCACTCTATGACTTCTTGTTCCTTCATGGCTTCTACATCTTTGAAAGGTTCAGCCTGCTTTGCTAATGGGACTTTTTTCTGTCTAACTAGAATATTGGAACTGCATGTCTAGTATCAATCTTATGAGATATCTTATTTGTTTGGCCTTAGTCATGAGGTCCATTGGAGACAGCATCTTGGTATTCTGTGAGTAATTCATGTAATCTCTACCATTGATCAGCTGTAAAACTTTCACAGCTCTGGTCATACAGCTCGTGTAAGTAAGGCAGTGAACTGTCCTTGTATGGAAATTTGGGGTTGATGGAATGTTTTCAGCTGAACATCGCCCCATAAGTCCAGTTAATTCATGTTTTGTTTTTTAAAGTATGGTTAGCTTTTATTGTTCCTTTGATCAGGTTGGGCTCAAAAGACTCATCCTTAAAATATTTTCTCCTTGGTTTGTCAAAAAATATTGATTCCTTACAGTCTCAGTTGTTGTGACCACGTTTCCCACATTTATAACAGTTGCTTTTTTTAAATCCTGTGGAAGGAGCTTTCAATCCATATAGACTTTTGAGAACAATTTCACGCAGTATGTCTTTCCAAGTCACACTTGAAAGATCTATTCTCTTGTGGTGTATTTCCTTCATTTTGTGTGACTAGTTGTCTAACCAATTCTTTCAGTTCTTCTTTACTATCCTAAAAGATAGCTGATGTTTCAGTACTTCTTGATCTGATGATCCCGTAATTTCTAGATGGTGTCTTTAGTTGTTTATCAATGGCTTTAATGGATTTGAGTTACATTGTCAACTGGAGAGCTTCCTTTAGAGATGTACACTGAGTGGTCACAAGTAAATAGACACCTAATTTTTCGTCATTTAACTGATTTATGCTAACTAATTTGT